CTTCCATTCCTTAGAGATCTCCCCTGCCCCTTAGTGGTCTCTCCTCTCCCCCCCACCTCCCATAGTGGTCTCCTTTTCTCCCCGACTTTCCATTAGTGGTTCCTCCTCTCCCCCCACCCTCCCCTAGTGGTCTATCCTCCACCCCCCCCTTAGCGGTCTCTCCTCAAAACCCTCCCATAGTGGTTTCTCCACCGCCCCCTCCCTCCTTTAGTGGTCTCTCCCTCCCCTACGTTCTCATCTCCCACCCCCCGTGTTCTCCTCTTATTCCCCCCTCCCCGTGTTCTCCTCTTCTTCTCCCCTGTAATCTTCTCTTCTTCTCCCCCTCCCTGTAACCTTCTCCACTCCCCCTCCCTCCCTGTAATCTTCTCCCCCCCTATAATCTTCTCCCCCCTCCCCTATAATCTTCACCCCTCCTGTAATCTTCTCTTCTTCTTCTACCCCTCCCTGTAATCTTCTCTTCTCCCCCCTGTGATCTTCTCCCTCCCCTCCTTCCTGTAATCTTCTCCACTCCCCTCTCCTCCTGTAATCTTCCTCCACTCCCCCCCCTCCTGTAGTATTCTCACTCCCCTTCCCTCCCTCCCTGTAATCTTCTCTTCTTTCCCCTCCCTCCCTGTAATCCATTTCCCCCCCCTGTAATCTTCTCTTCTTCTCCCCCCCTCAATCTTCTCCACTCCCCTTCCCTCCCTGTCAATCTTCTCCACCCCTGTGTAATCTTCTCCACTCCCCCCTCCCCCCTCGCTCCCTGTAATCTTCTCTCTTCTTTTCCCCCCCCTCCCTCCCTGTAATCTTCTCCACTCCTCCTCCTCCCTCCCTGTAATCTTCTCCACTCCTCCTCCTCCCTCCCTGTAATCTTCTCCACTCCTCCTCCTCCCTACCTGTAATCTTCTCCACTCCCCCTCCCGGTAATCTTCTCCAATCCCCCTCCCTTCCTGTAATCTTCCCAACCTCGCCACTATGCACTGGAGAAGCCTGATTGCCAGCCTCCTGCCATCTGACTATGGCCCCCTTGTGAATTCGTACTTTTGTATGCAATATTTGGGCATGTGAAATTTTTATATTGCTGCTACTGGCCCTTTAAGGGCCATCCGTGGACATATTCTGACTGTTAGGAATAATGCCCTTTAAGATTGTGTAGCAACTTGCATTCAGGCTGTATTTAATATTATGTGTTCGGTAAACAGTGTTATGTGTATGCAGCATTCGTCTGATTGTTCGGTAGAATTACTCCATTCATTATATTGGGTGAAACTACCGAACAACCAGACCACCCTGGAGTAAGTGTGCCTCCAATTACCATTTGCAACAATGTTGCAACCGGGTAATTGGCAATATGTGTAATGTGTGTTTTGTCCTCTGGGTGGCCGCCATTCGGGAAACGAACACGTGGCGGCGGCCATCTTAAACTCCCGAACAGCGGTGTTTTGCCATCGAGTGTCTGGAACTAAAATCGGACACTCGACTAAGCAAACACCGCTGAGACCTCCAGACTTCCAGCAATTCGTGCAGAAACTACCGAACGGCCTGCCGTTCGGTAGAAAGGATCCCACGAACAGGGGGATTCATACGAATCCTCCCCAAGCTCTCTAACCCAGGCAATTCGTGTGATTCATTCCCTTTTCTGTGACCGACTGCAGGGCCAAAGTGCATGGAACTATTTTCGGATACTTTTGCCATGCAGTCGGTCAAAACTTTAACCCTCTATAATTCCTGAACCCCTGGTCCGATCTGGGTGATTTTTGGATATGTGTCTCACCCAGATCAGGGCTACCAGGGGATGTAACATTTAAAGGGGTATACCTATGTTTAGGGGTACATCCAGTATCCCCGGGAATTTGTGTCTGTACTAAAGGGATTATGTGTCACACTAAGGGGAGGAGATGTGTGGGAGGTAACTGGTACCTTATTGGCTGGGGTACTAATTGTTGTGGATCCCTCCCTTGCATGGGAGAATGTCTTAAAAGGGAGGTTGTGTGAATAAATCGAGAGTTCCTGCTTAACCCTCAAAGTGAAGTGTCGTCTCATTATTGGGGGAAGGATTTATTGTATGCTGTTCCAGTTTGACTGCTAGGAGAGTAAACCTATTCATATGGTTCCTATTCAACTGTCTACAGCATTCTTATGCTTGAGAGAAGGTATACGCTTCTCTGGTTCAGTGATTGTGGTGTCTGCTGCAGTGCTTGGAGTCCTCAGGAAGCGCTAGGAGCATCCTTCAACGGAGGTATCCAGTCGGGGTGCCAGGCGATCCGTTACATTCTCCACTCCCCCCTTCCTGTAATCTTCTCCACTCCCCCCCTCCCTTCCTGTAATCTTCTCCACTCCCCCCATGTAATCTTCTCCACTCCCTCCCTCCCTTCCTGTAATCTTCTCCACTCCCCCCTCCCTTCCTGTAATCTTCTCCACTCCCTCCTGTAATCTTCTCCTCCCTCCCGCCAATCTCCTCCCTCCCTGTAATCTTCTCCCTCCCCCCCTCCTTCCTGTAATCTTTCCTCCACTCCCTTCCTGTAATCTTCTCCACTCCCCCCCTCCTGTAATGTTCTCCCTCCCCCCCCTCCTGTATTCTCACTCCCCCCCTCCCTGTAATCTTCTTACTCCCCCTCCTGTAATCTTCTCCTCCACTCCTCCCTTCCTGTAATCTTCTCCACTCCCTCCTGTAACCTCTCCACTCCCTGTAGCTTCTCCCTCCCCCCTCCCTGTAATCTTCTTCTCCTTACCTCTCCTTCCCTGACTCCTCTCAGTGTGCACTTCCTGTCACGGCCGGGTCGCGGACCGGAGGAGCTCGGCCACGCTACAGGGAAGGGGAGGTGAGTGCGGCAGCCGTCTGAGCGCTCTCTATAGAGGATTCGCTCTAAATGGCGGTCTGCAGAACATAGTTAAAGGGCTCAGGACGTTATTCTGGAGGGCGCATGGGTAGCCCCCTCAAGAACATCATTATTGGCAGCTGTTCCTGTAGGACAGATAGTTCTGGAGCAAATAATGTGTTCGCCTTGTAGCCTCCAGAGATCCTGTTCTACACCAGACCTGTGGAGCCAGACTGCAGCCAGAGCCCATCACCATCCTCATCTGATTGTAAGTAGGCAATCTAGTATATTATTAGTGACACTTATCTCTAATTTACCTCACATTAAAGGAACACTATAGTCCCCAGAACCACTGCAGCTTAATAAAGTGGTTCTGGTGTCTATAGTTTGTCCCTGAAACCTTTTTAATATAAACTACTACACTGTGTGCAGCACTGGCGTTCGTTCATATGGCAGATCATATGGGTGGGGCATTGTGATGTCACTGGGGAATGGGTGGGGGGGCGGCAAATCTTTCTTTTGCCTAGGGCGGCAGAAATCCTTGCACTGGCCCTGACGCCAATGTACCCCATATCTGGCAGGTCCTACTCTGCCTAATGTATGCTAAAAGAACCATAAGAAACACATAAAGCACTTACCTGCAAGAAAGGGCAGTAGGCTTGAGCAACTGCCTGCAGGCTCCAACTGAAACAAAAGGAATCATGGAAAAGGAATGGGTGTGGCAACAGAAAACAAACATTTAAATGAATCCAGGAGACTGGGAATTCCAGGAACGGAATACAGGAATGAACCCAGAAACCCCAGCATAGAGAAAACCAGACATAGAATAGAAAACCAGAAAAAAAAACAAGAAAAACTAAACAAGAATTGTAAAAAGAGTACTGGATACCAGAAGCCAAGGCCAGACATCCCCGCAGAACATGGCATGATGTGACAATTTGATGCATACACTGATATTAATAAAATTATGAGGAAATAATGTTTAAAAAATGTTTTAACAAGAAAAGGGAGACTAATGAGATAGGCAATAACGAGACCATAAATAATGAATTTATCCATACCAATCTGAAACAGCCATCCACATTCTATCCTATCCACTTAAAGTCAAACTGCATGTGTAAATGTTATAAAATAAATTAAAGTTAACAAAAAAAAATAATCTTACACTTATAGAAAAAAGAGCAATGGATGACCTTAAAAAAGACTCCACGGTAGTTATCAAGCCGGCAGATAAGGGTGGAGGTGTGGTAGTTATGGAAAAGGAGATACTTATCAAGGAAATTTATCGACAACTAGGAGATACAGATACATACGAAAAATTAGACAAAAATCCTCAGAATGATATTAAGAAAAAGTATGAATGATATTTGGACCAAGGATTAATGAAGGGAATCCTCACTAAGGCAGAACACTCATTCCTAAATATCCGCTCACCGAAAATACCAGTAATTTACACATTACAGAAATTACATAAAAATGCACAGGATCCCCTCGGAAGACCGATAGTTTCTGGGGTTGGATCATTATTGTCTAATTTGTCAAAGTATGTTAATGTACATCTCCAACCCATTGTTAAAACCAGTACATCATATCTAATAGACGCTATGAGTCTATTACAGATACTTAAAGATTTTAAATGGGAGGAAGATTTTATCCTTGTGACATGTGATGTCACTAGCCTGTATACCTGCATTGACCGTCTTTTGGGGTGTGACGCCACACGATTTATTCTAGATACCTCCACCCTGTACCCTGCTGACCAGGTAGATTTTATTCTCGAGGGAACACTTTTTATCCTACAGGATAACTTATTTTGGTTTGAGGGAGAATATTTTTTACAACGCAAGGGGACCACTATGGGGACCAGGATCGCACCCAGTTATGCCAATTTATTTATGGTCTACTGGGAGAAGAATTTTGTTTATTCACAGCATGACTGGAGTGGGAACCTGGTCCTTTATAAAAGGTATATAGTCTACATCTTTTTTATCTGGAAGGGCAATGAATTTGAAGTTTTTAATTTTTTACATTTTTTAAATAGTAATCAGTGGAACATACGTCTCACCCAGGAGATTCATAAAGAGAAAATTAATTTCCCCTGCCACCTCACACTGTCACCCCATCTGTCACCCCCTGTCCACACCGTGTCACCCCCCACACTTTTTGTTAGTGGGGGCCTCATGTATGAGTTTCGCCTAAGGCCTCACCAAGTCTAGAGCCGCCACTGTACAGAGATATTAATACCATACCAGAGGTGGCTCTGTAATTAGGCGACTTAGGCGGCTGAGCCTAAACCACCTTGGTGCAATTTGATCTGCCGGGTCCTCGGTCTATGACCGAGGGCCCGATGCAGGGAGGGGGCTTGGCGGCTTGCCCTTTATGCTGCCGGGTGCGGAGTCCCTCCATTCAGTGTGCCCATATTGGAAGAGCCCCTACGCTGTCGATCTGCAGCACCGCCGGGTGCAGAGCTGCAGACCATGTTTTAGAGATCTTGTGATCTCCCAGATCGCTGCCGCGAGTTACCATGGCACTTCTCTGGGAGATCACGAGATCTCGATCATATGGTCTGCAGCTCTGCACCCGGTGGAGCTGCAGACCAGGGTGCTGCCCACCGGACCACCAGGGACTGAGTCCACCTGACCACCAGGGAGTGATTAACAGCAGGAAACAAAGATACGAAAATGTGGGGAGACTTGTCACTAAAACAGCCCCCCCCCCACTACCCCCCCTCCACACTGTCACACTGCCTCCCCCCCACACTGCCTCTTCCCCCACACTGTCACACTGCCTTCCCCCAAAACATTGCCCACCCACACTGTCACACTGCGCCTTCCCCCACACTGTCACACTTCCTTCCCGCCACACTGTCACACTGCCCCTTCACACTGTCACACTGCCTTCCTCCCACAATGTCAGCATGCACACTCTGCCTCCACACGTCAGCATGCACACTCTGCCCCCACACTGTTTTCCTCCCACACACTACTTACCCACACTATCACCATTCCACACACAGCCCTCCCACACTGTCACCCTTCCACACACAGTCCCCCCACACTGTCAGCATGCACACACTGCCCCCCACACTTTCACCATGCACATACTGCCCCCACTGTCACCAAGCACCCACAGCCCACCCCACACTGTCATCCTTCCACGCAAAGCTCTCCACACTATCACCCTTCCACACACAGCCCCCCCACACACTGTCACACCTCCAAACACAGCTCCCCCTACTGTCACCATGCACACACTCCCTCCACACTGTCATCATGCACACACAGCCCCCACACTGTTTTCCTCACACACACTACTCCCCCACACTGTCACCCTCCCACACACCCACACTATCATGCCTCCACACACACTGTCACCCTCCAACACATTGGCCCACCATGCTGTCACCCTCTCACACACACACTGTCACCCTTACCCCATACTGCATCCCCACACTGTCACCCCTACACACGCTTTCACCCCCATCTTCACCCAGTTACCCTCACATTAACCCCTCCTAATACACTTACCTGCCTCGCTTTGCCATACTCACCCTATCACATTATCCCCCCTAATCACGTCACAGTCATCTTCTCTTGCACTGTCACACTCATCCCTCTTCATCCTGCCACACTCACCCTATCACATTAACCCCTCAAATCCTGTCATGCTTACCTCCCATCGCCAAGTCACACAGACTCCTCCGAATGTGCTACACTCACCCCCAAGCTTGTCACAATCACCATGTCACATTAACCCCCCTTGATCCTATCACATTCACCTTCCCTCGCCCAATCAAAAATTTCATTTCCAAAAACTCCTTCACACCGGCAACCATACCACACATTATAAATTATTAGCATAATTGCAAATTAAATTCATTTATTGCAAATTAATTTAGCTTGCAATTTATGCCATAACTACTGTTGGAGAGCTTGCTGGGATTCTAGGAACAATAAATACAGAGACTAGCTCCACACAATGGACTATATATTTTTTTACCAAGGGTGTTATTGGGGGCCTCATGTTTGAGGTTTGCCTAAGGCCTCACAAGGTCTAGGGCCGCCATTGTACCATACAGAGAGCTGAGCATAATACAGAGATACTCATACCATACAGAGAGCTGAGCATAATACAGAGATACTCATACCATGCAGAGAGCTGAGCATAATGCAGAGATACTCATACTATACAGAGAGATGAGCATAATACAGAGATACTCATACAATACAGAGAGCTGAGCATAATACAGAGATACTCATACCATACAGAGAGCTGAGCATAATACAGAGATACTCATACTATACAGAGAGCTGAGCATAATACAGAGATACTCATACCATACAGAGAGCTTAGCATAATACAGAGATACTCATACCATACAGAGAGCTGAGCATAATACAGAGATACTCATACCATACAGAGAGCTGAGCATAATACAGAGATACTCATATACAGAGAGCTGAGCATAATACAGAGATACTCATACCATACAGAGAGCATAATACAGAGATACTCATACCTTACAGAGAGCTGAGCATAATACAGAGATACTCATACCACACAGAGAGCGGAGCATAATACAGAGATACTCATACCATACAGAGAGCTGAGCATAATACAGAGATACTCATACAATGCAGAGAGCTGAGCATAATACAGAGATACTCATACAATACAGAGAGCTGAGCATAATACAGAGATACTCATACAATACAGAGAGCTGAGCATAATAGAGAGATACTCATACCATACAGAGAGCGGAGCATAATATAGAGATATTCATACCATACAGAGAGCTGAGCATAATACAGAGATACTCATACCATAAAGAGAGCTGAGCATAATACAGAGATACTCATCCAATACAGAGAGCTGAGCATAATACAGAGATACTCATACTATACAGAGAGCTGAGCATAACACAGAGATACTCATCCAATACAGAGAGCTGAGCATAATACAGAGATACTCATACTATACAGAGAGCTTAGCATAATACAGAGATACTCATACTATACAGAGAGCTGAGCATAATACAGAGATACTCATACGATACAGAGAGCTGAGCATAATACAGAGATACTCATACCATACAGAGAGCTGAGCATAATACAGAGATACTCATACGATACAGAGAGCTGAGCATAATACAGAGATACTCATACAATACAGAGAGCTGAGCATAATACAGAGATACTCATACAAACAGGGAGCTGAGCATAATAAAGAGATACTCATACCATACAGAGAGCTGAGCATAATAAAGAGATACTCATACCATACAGAGAGCTGAGCATAATACAGAGATACTCATACCATACAGGGAGCTGAGCATAATAAAGAGATACTCATACGATACAGAGAGCTGAACATAATACAGAGATACTCATCCAATACAGAGAGCTGAGCATAATACAGAGATACTCATACCATACAGAGAGCTGAGCATAATACAGAGATACTCATACCATACAGAGAGCTGAGCATAATACAGAGATACTCATACCATACAGAGAGCTGAGCATAATACAGAGATACTCATACCATACAGAGAGCTGAGCATAATACAGAGATACTCATACCATACAGAGAGCTGAGCATAATACTGAGAGCTGTGTATAATACACAGATACTCATACAATACAGAGAGATGAGCATAATACACAGATACTCATACAATACAGAGAGCAGAACATAATACAGAGATACTCATACAATACAGAGAGCTGAGCATAATACAGAGATACTCATACCATACAGAGAGCTGAGCATAATACAGAGATACTCATACAATACAGAGAGCTGAGCATAACACAGAGATACTCATACAATATAGAGAGCTGAGCAATACAAAGATACCTATACACTAAACAGAGCTGGAAAGACTACAGAGATACCCATACAACAGATAGAGCTGAGCACAAAAATTAGAATAATAATAATGAGATACTCAAAACTATCCACAGAGCCAGGATCCCTGTGAATCACTACCTTTGGGAGAGCTGATTTGGGACCTCTCCTGGGGTCCAGTGTTGATTTTTTCCCCTGTGCTCCTGTAATCTTGCTGCTCTTCCTCACTGCTCTGTTGCACACTGTTTAGTGATGGTGGGGCTTAAGTGTCATCTTATTCCAGCTCCCGACATCGCCGTATGGCGCGAGGGAGCAGCGAGGAACTGAAAGAGCAATAACATCAGTTCTATCTCGCCGCCTGACTAACACTATAGTGCCCTCTGGTCCTGCCCCCCTTCTCCTCTCCAGCAGGTAAAGGGTTAAAAAAAATCTTTAGTCACTTACCCAAATCCAGCACCGATGCCCCTCGGTGTTGGGTCGGCGCTCTACCTCCTCCAACGTCATCTGAAGGAGGGGCCTGGTGCAGAATGAGCGATGCAAGTGCTTTAGACCCTCCCCAATGAAAAGTATTGCTCCAATTCTTTCCTATGGGGATTTAATTGAAGCTGGATGTCCATATGCAGCAAATAGTCTGTTTGCAACAAGGAAGTGTTTCTAGTGGCTGTTTGATTGACAGCCACTAGAGGCAGTCTTAGTCCTGCAACGCAGTCATTGCAGGACTAAGTGGGACACGTACATTGCACCTAGACCACTTCAATAAGCTGAAATCATCTGGGTGACTATAGTGTCTCTTTAAGCCAGCAAAGTTTGTAATGTTTAAAAAGTGATGATAACTTGGAAAAAAAAGATAAATAGAAATTTGACGTTTTAGAAATAAATAGTAATATCTTACCATTAATAGGTAGTGTAAAGTTAGTCACGAGCTAGCATAAAATGCTAAAATGAACAGGAAACGATTAAAAGGTGAATAACAAAATTAACCAGGATATCAGGAGATCTTAGCTATGTAGAAAGGAAAGAGAGACTGTAACTCTTTACTCTAGAAAAAAATAAAGCATCTTTAAGTTTAGGGTACTTTGATAACTTATTAGAGACAATATTCAGGGACCATTCAAATAGCTCTCTGGTGACTTGTTCATGAACATAACTGTTTAAAGAACACAAGGAGATTCAGAATAAAGGAGATTTAAAGGGGCATTCTAAGCACTATCATCTCTACAATTCACTGTAGTGGTCAAGGAGCCAGGAGTGCCCAATGATAAGTAGCCAAACCGCTCTCAAATGCTATGAAACTTACTTGAGTCCCCCCAATGTCTCAGGTCTATCATTTGCAATATAGTGGGAATTCTTCTTCTCCAATGAATATATCAATTATGTCCATACTTGGACGATACGCATTGGATGAGAACATCAACTGCACTCTTACCCAATGAATTCCATCCAAACACCGGCAGAATTGACAGCACATATTTAATTCTTACTAATTTAGTCATATTCGATCAAAACAGAGATATGCTTCCAGGAGCCAGGTAAGTGACAAACTATTTGAAATGGTTTGACTACTTATCATGGGACAGCACCAGGGGACTTCAAACACAATAACCATTACATTGATCTGCGGTGGTTTTATTTTTTAGACTGCACCTTTAACTTGCAAAAGAGGAAATTATTGACCTCCTCAGTGATAATATTTTCCCCACAACAGCTTTTTTTGAGACAAAGTATTGTTTTCTATAGAACAAAAGCAGCAGGTTATCTTGGTGGAATTCAATCTCATATTGACAGGAATTGCTGTTTTCAAATAGTTTTTATTGAAATTTAAATTTTTTATAATAAAATGAACAAGCAATATGGAACAAGGGAAATTTTGATACAACAAACAATTGCTGTTATAATTATTATGTTGGAATGCAACGTATAAACACATTTCTATAAAGTCTCACTATAAGTCACTATATAATTGTTTATTTTATTTAAGGACACGGAGGCTCATATTATGCTATTCTCTTTCTTTTATTCCTCAGCAGCAAGAAAAACTTTATTTTAGAGAAACAATCAACCATGTAAATATGCCCCAAAGGGCTAGTCCTACAATAATACAACCAATCAGCATGCCTTCAGCACTCTCAACTCCCCATGTGACCTTAAGCCACTCCTCTTTCTTGCTGCTGCCTTCCTCAGCTAAGTACATTTTTATTTTCTCTCTGTATGCTGCCTGTGTTTTCTCATATTTATTCATTTTGTGGCAGTTTCATTTAAATTTGTTCGTTTTTCTATGTACTGTTGGGCTTCTGCCCTATCTCTCCACTTAATTTCCCAACTGGCTCTAGGTTTTTTCCCTCACCTAGAGCCAACCCCTCCCTCCCCTCCCATCTCTGACTCACTTCAGGTGGATTATCACCTACTGAGTCAGGGCGGCTAGCAGCTCTCCGTGTGGAGGCTCTTGCCGCCCAGTCTGTTTTTTTTTCGTGCCTCTGAGATCTGTCTCGGGGGCCTCCCTCCCCCCCCCCTCCGGTTCGCGGTGTAACCGCGGCTGGCGCCGTTTATGCGCACAACGCTAGTGCGCATCGCGGCGGCCATCTTGCGGTTGGCAGTTTGCCGCGGTTTTTTTCGTTCCCGGGCTTTTTAGTGCCTGTGGGGGCGGGAGTGTGTGCTGATTGGACAGCACAGTTGCTGGGCAGCTCACCAGTGTCCCCAGGAGCCATTCCTGAGGGAACACTTGGTGAGCTTGCCTTTTTCATATTCTGTCTGTTAATTTATAGTGCCTTGGGTATTTCTGTATCATTCCTACTGATACATTGCTAGTACCCAGTTTTGCAAAAAATCAGGGAAGTCACTCCATTAGTTTATTTGGGTTCCCCCACTCACCCCCCTTTTTTCTTGGTTTACTTATAAATAATATATTCTTGTACCTAACCACAACTACTGCAGAGGTGTTATTTCGTAATGCAAGCTAGTAAGAATTTGGGCATGGCCTCCAGCGATTCCCCCATTAGGGATAATATGCCCCCTGCCCCCCAGGTTGTCCCCAGACCGACTGGCTCAACTGTCACTGATGTGGCAGACCAGGAGCAAATGAACTCGGAAGAACTTCATTCTCTCCTGGATGCCACTATGACAAAATCCGTTACCCAAGCTGTTTACTCAGCCATGGGAGTTATGTCGGACACTCTGTCCCACTCTATTAGCCATGCCCTCTTGGCCGCCCAACAGGCCTCTACGCACATTGCCCCTAACCCTACAGAACACATTACAGGCAAGGCCAGTGGGCGCAAAGCCACCAAAAAAGCTCGTCACATGGACGAGGAAGCCTCCAAAACTTTAAGGACAGACAGGGAACGTCCTGTCAAAGATAATGTGGTTGCACCACAACAAAGAGCCACCCACCGGGCAAAATCGGTGCGGAGTTGGAAAAGGGCAAAAGCCCAAGTGGAATCATCCGAGTCAGATTCGGAACAGGAGGAGGCATGGAGCGAGTCTGATGATGAGGACTCATTCAATTTGGGCACACTATTCCCTGACCACAGCGCTATATCTATGTCTGGGAATGAGGACGAGGACGGGGTGGAAGGCTTCACCCTCCTTGACCCACAGGGCGAACCTTTGTTTGACCCTGATAGTCTGCAGCACCCAAGATCAACTGAATGGTTCCCGCTGGACCATGTGGCAAAATATATTGCCGCACGGATCAGGAAACCCCTTGATAAGGTGGCAAGAAGTAAGATGCGGGCAGAATGCCCACGCCCCACGCTCCCAGATTTAATATGTATCGCCCCTATAGTGGACCCTAAGATTGCCCAGTTCCTGGGAAAAACTGGGTGGAAGGCGAAGAAGGGTCTCGATTTTGCACTTCACCATTGCCAGGATAAGATCCTGGATGTCCTCGGACCCAGTGCAAAGATCTTTGATATGGTTGAAACGGCACTGGCAGGCGGTGCTCCCATAGACCCGCTAGCTATCAGGGGCTGGATACAGCGAGCCATATGTCTTCTTGGAAATGCCAACGTGGCTCTTGCCACTGAGAGGCAAAAGGCTATATTGATTAAAATCGAACCAAAGCTAGTTGCCTTGGCTATCACTGAACCTGGGCCACAGGCCAAAGGCCTTCTTTTTGGGGATAGTTTTGTGAAGGAGCTGGGTACCTATGTGGGCACTTTTACTGCTCTGGACAAGGCGCAAGCCAATATGAAAAAGGTATTCTCCCATAGAGTTTTTGGCGGGGCCGGCAGATATCGGGGCCATCTGCCCGGCCGTTCTTCCCAGGGCTCGTACCGGGTTTCTAGAGGCCCCTTCCAGTCACGTTACCAGAGTGAGGTACCGAAGCCCTCTCCATTCTTCCCAGTTCGAGGAAGACCCTGGCAGGCTCGTGGATCCAGAAGCGTT